CTGTAGTTTGAATCCCTCTAGTGAATTTTTTATGTTATTGTACTTTCATCTCCAGAAACCCTGCTTCATTTTTTTAGGTTTTCTATCTCTTTATTGATATTCCCACTTTGTTCACACATTTTCGTGACTTTTCCCACATCTTCCTTTAATTCTTTGAGCTTCTTTAAGATGGTTGTTTTAAACTCTTTGTTTTTTTTTTGATCTGCTGTCAGGTCTTTTTCTTTTTCTTTTCTTTTTTTTTTTAAAGATTTTATTTATTTTTATTTGAGAGAGAGAGAATGAGAGAGAGGGAGTACATGAGAGGTGGGAGGGTCAGAGGGAGAAGCAGACTCCCTGCCGAGCAGCGAGCCCGATGCGGGACTCGATGCGGGACTCGATCCAGGGACTCAGGATCATGACCTGAGCCGAAGGCAGTCGCTTAACCAACTGAGCCACCCAGGCGCCCCTGTCAGGTCTTTTTCAAGGACAGTTTCTATTCATCCTTTTTCCCTTTGAATGGGTAATACTTTCCTGTTTGTATGTGTTAGGATTTTTTTTTTTAATTGATAATTGGACATTTGAATCTAATGTGGTAACTCTGGAAATCAGGTTTTTTCCCTTCACTGGGTTTTCTTTTATTATTTTTGTTTATTTTGTGTGTGTGTGTGTGTGTGTGTGTGTGTGTGTGTGTGTGTGTATTTAATTGTAGGCTGTCTCTGTGCTGAGGATTATCCTGTGGTATAAATTTAAGGTCTTTTCAGGTCTTTGCTATGCCTGGGCCTTTCTCTGGGCATGTATAGTGACTTGACTTTCTCTCATACATGCAGTTGTTTTTGAATGTTTCAGTCTTTAATGTCTGGCTCCCAAAGGGAGAAAAATTGAAAAACAGAGCAGGGTGGGGGGTGGGATGTGCTGGCCATTTAAATATCCTGGAAATCACCTTAGCCAGAAGGGGAAGGGCTTCAACAGTGTGAGGAGTTGCAACAACAATAGCCACCCAGTTTTTTGTCTGCACCTCTGAGATAAGAAGCAATAGCCCATGATCTGAAGCACAAATCACTGATATTTGGAGGACAGAGTCCTTTTTACCTATCCAGACCCCTGCAAGCTGTGTGCAGGTTGCTCCAGGAGCAGGTGCACAGCAGTGTGCTATGGGTCTGGCATGTGGGAATGGGTAGCTGATATTATGCTAAGAGCCCAAGTTGACCAAAATTAACTGCAGTGTATTGTTTAAGCCTTCTCCCGAAGTTGAAAGCCTTCATTAGACTCCAAATTTCCAAAATAGTTACATCGGACAGATTTTGCCATTGTTGTCTAGGTGGGGAGACAGATTTCTATTGCTTTCTACTCCATCATCCTCCCAGAATCTTCTCTATTGTCTTTATTTATATTTTCCTTCCTTCCTTTCCCTTGTGTTTCCCTAGAGACTTTCAACTAAATAGTGTCTAAAGCTTGTAGTTCTTTTAGTTTAATGTCATCATTTTTCAGGAACTCTATTGATTTGGTGGTAAGGTGTTGGTATATGAGAAGCATTCTGTAGTCTGTCTTTTGGTGAGCCTGAGTTAGGTATTTCTCTTTCCCCATGTTGAAGGCTAGAGGGGGTATAGTTTTGTGTGTGTGTGTGTGTGTGTGTGTGTTTTCTCCCACATCAAAGGCTAGAAGAGGTAATTAACTTCTTCAGGCTTGTTTGGTTTTGGTAGAACCTCAATTATTTAGGCTTTGGTAAAATATTTTCCCTTGAGTTTAGGATTGGTAAGGAGAGTAGAGAGCTCTGGGAATATTTCATAATGGTTACTTTCCCCTTCTCCTGCTGGATGTAGGAGGAGATTATTTCTTTGATTTTCACAGTGAGCAACTGGTAGGGCTCCTGGAGATAAAATTTATGGAAATGTGGTGGCAAAACTAAGACTGGGACCCCTTGGAATTTTAAACTCTCAACCCAGTCCACACTGAGTCTCTAGTTATTGGTCAGTTATAGTTAAAAGTATTTCTACAGATAGTAGCTTCAGGTGTGGGCTTCTGCCCCTTGGCTCGTACTTTTGGTAAAATGTGATAGTCTGTATCTATTTGTCTGTTTCTTTCATTTTCAGGGCAACAGTTTATCTGGTAACCTAAATTCTTTGATGACTCTAAGAAGAGTTGTTGATTTTCAGTTGGTTCACCTTTCTGCTTGTTGTAAGGATGGAAGTGATGATTTCTAAGTTTTTTATGTATCAGACTGGAAACTGAAAGCCCCTCACACACTTTTTGGAATGCAGGAATGTAGGTGTTCATTGTTAATAATGTTAGTATATTGTAAAAGAAATATATGATATGATTACTTTTTCATATTACCAGTTCTTAAATGATCTCATCATGAATTTTAATTATGTCCAGACATTTTGAGGTTTGATTTTATTTAAAATATTAGGAAAAAAGGAGAATAATTTTATACTCTTGATTGTATTTAAAGACAGGGTAAATTTTTTTAATATAGTGTTTTGTTAGTTTCAGGTGTAAAATACAGTGATTCAACAATTCCATACATCACCCGGTGCTCATCACAACAAGTGTACTCCTTAATCCCCATCACCCATTTAACCTATTCCCCCATCAACCTCCCCTCTGGTAACCATCAGTTTGTTGTCTATAGTTAAGAGCTTGTTTCTTGGTTTCTCTCTCTCTCTTTGTCTTTTGCTCATTTGTTTTGTTTCTTAAATTCCACATATGAGTGAAATCATATGGTTTTTGTCTTTTTCTGATTGACTTTTGTTTAGCATTATACTCTCTAGCACATTCATGTCATTGCAAATGGCAAGATTTCATTCTTTTTTATGGCTGAATAATATTCCATTGTATAGATACCACATATTCTTTATCCATTCATCTATTGATGGACACTTGGGCTGCTTCCATAATTTGGCTGTTGTAGACAATGCTGCTATAAACATCAGGGTGTATGTGTCCCTTTGAGTTTAGTGTTTTTTATATTCTTTGGGTAAATACCCAGTAGTGTGACTGCTGGATCATAGGGTAGTTCTCTTTTTTAATTTTTTGAGGAACTTCCATACTGTTTTCCAGAGTGGCTGCACCAGTTTACATTCCCAACAGTGCACAAGTGTTCCTTTTTCTCCACATCCTCACCAGCACCTGTTGTCTCTTGTGTTGTTGATTATAGCCATTCTGACAGGTGTGAGGGGATAACTCATTGTAGTTTGATTTGCATTATCCTGAGAGTAAGTGATGATGAACATCTTTTCATGTGTCTGTTGGCCACCTGACAGGATAAATATTTTAACTGCCTTATTATGATACATATTTTATTTCACTTGATCTTAGCCAAAAGGCCGAGAAGCGATGATACATATTTTATTTGGGAAGCTGATGTAAATGTTTGTATATTTCACATATAGATATTTTACAATGCCCAGAAATACTTCCTGAATTGGTAATTAACATTTTTATGTCTGTTAATTTTTCAAGTAAAGATTTTGAAATTAGGAACTGATTGGTAGATTAATATCAATTTGTTTATGATGAAAACTTTGTCACTAATTAAAATAGCAACATGATTCCTTGCAGAGATCACCCAAGAATTCTTTAACAATATTGTTTCCTCATTTACATATTTATTTCAATATTTATTTATTTATTTATTTAAATATTTATTGTTTTTAACATACATATCATTTGGTGAAGGGTAATCTTGCATTGTTCTCCATTTTGATGAGCTGATATGGTAATCTTTCTTTGTCATTATCTGTTTGGGACCTATTTTGTTTTGAAATGTTAAGAGATTTTTATCTTATTCTGTAGGAAATACAATATGTTTTCAGGATAGACTCCGTGTGTCACTCTAAGTTTTTTGTGTTTGTTTGGTGATAGGATATTTGGTGCTAAATACAGTCTTTATTAATCCACTATGTGACTATATTTAAATATTAAATGATGTGGCTTTAACTCTAGGATAAAACTGTTCCACTTTTTTGAAGTTTATGCAGAGAACACAAGATATTCCTTTTTGGTTTAATATAGAGATACGTAATTACCAATTATATTTATCTATTGGGACACAAAAATGTATAAGGGTATACCTTTTCATTTATTGCTTTTATCATTATAAATAGGAGCACACTGGAAAAGAAAATCAATTTGATCTAAAAAGTATTTAATGCACAGTGTTAATATAATTTCCTTATGGAAGTCCTAGATTTTGGTGGTGAATTTTAGTTACCAATCCTTAGCTTTTCTTTGGGAAAGTAAAAGCTGATGAACTGATCATTGAATCATAAGTTTACCTCTCAGGACTGGTCCTAGGTAAGGTGTGGGAAGCCAAATTTCAGAGGAATCCAGTACCCTTGGGCATGATCTTTCTCTGCCTTGTAAATATCCAGTGCTATTTCAGTGAAGCACTGAGTTGATTATAGTTTAAATGCATTTTTAGTCTGTTATCTTATATGAATAATTTACTTTAGCTTATAAATATTTAAAATTTAATATACATAGTTATTTTAGTAGTTATTTTTAGGTAGATTGAATACATAACCCCCAATTCTTTTATCTGCTCTTTTAAGCAATAAATAAACTCATTTATAAGGCTTTTAAAATACATTTATAGAACTATACATTTTATTTAAAATATTTAGGCCTTCAATTTATATTAAGGAAGAATTTTAAAAAATAAAGAGGAAATCGATTTATCTTCAGTAAAACAAATGTAGCTGTGTTTAATATGGTACTTTAAAATAAATATTTTAAAAGCTTCACTATCAGTATTAATAAAAATATGCAGAGAACTTGAGGACTAAATCATGGAATCATTAAAACAGTAGTAGAGTTTTAATATCAGTCCTTTATTCAGAACAAGTGATTCAACTTCTCTTTTTTTGTGTTAGCTTAGTTTAAATGTATAATTCCGAGTAGCAAAGCACTAACTTTTTCAATGTAACAAACCTCATTTTTTATTTTTATATGACCACAAATTGTAGATAGACATTTTTTCTCAGTACAGTGCACTCAGTTGTGCAAACTTATCTTTTTAGGGTCAAAGAAGAACACAAACCACAGCCGACACAGTAAGTAAATGTATTAAGAGTGCAGTAGGCTTGATTTCTGTACCTTTGCCGTATTCTGCTTTCTGCACCTTGGATGGTATTAGCTTACACTAATACTGGATAGGCTGCAGCTAGTGTGTCTTCTGCTTTCTGACTCTCTGGCTTGTAAGAGAGCTGCCTGCAGCTTCTTACTTCATCCACACACTGACTGGATGTAGTTTTTTGCTGCCTGCTTGTGGACTGGTTAAGTGTTCAAACTTAATTTCCGTACTTTCTGACTGCCTGATGATAATGGGAGCTCACATTTCCATTGGCTGTAGCTTTTGTGCCTGTGTATTTTTATTATTATGGATAAGAAAACATTTGACCTACGTTGTTATTCATTTGGTTATTCAGTCACATTATTTGCTTATTTAAACAGGTGGTTTCCCTTTAGTGGGATCACTGAACTGGTAAATAACGTTCTTCAGCCCCAGCAAAAACAACAAAATGAAAAGGAGCCCCAGACGTAAGTAAGCTGATCTGTACAGACTAAATATTATCTCTGATAGCATAACATACTGAAGAGTATGTATTAAAATGCTGCCCTTGGAATATTATTCCTCAGAAACAAAAATTGTTAGGTTATGAGTTTGATACTTTCATCTTTAATTATCATGGAAATCTAAAAAGAAGACAGGATAATTTATAAGGTAGTAAAAACGGAGAGAGGTAATTCTCCCCTTTCTCCAATTATGCAATATATTCTAAAGTGTGTTTCTTTCAAAAATAATTCAGAGGACATTAAGAAATATTAACCCCCCAATTCAGTTTTTGGTCGAATAGTTTTGGAAAGGTTCTTTTAAAAAAAGGTCAAGAAATTTTCTTTATTGTAATACTTCTGAGTGTCTAAAAATGCTCCAAAGGGGTTGGAACATTGAGTGTTTACTAAACATATTTGACCACTGAGTCCTGTTTTCATTGAACATTTCATTAAGTTATCAGCATAATTTGGGAAATGCAGCAATTTATTCTCACATTGACCTGAAACATTAAAAAAAGTCAATTCCATTTATTTTAGTTTTTCGTAGAATAGAAAACATTCTTTAAAAAATTGTTCACACATCTTTTTTTTTAACTCTGTGCAAGTAATATTATTTATATTTTGAAGTGGAAGTAACTTTGAGAATGTGAGAAAGATTGTATATATTTAAATTCTAATCTCTCCATGATAACTGTCGTCTTACTCCAACGCACTCTTACCACTCAGCCTCTATGCTTTTTTAAAGTGGGAGCTCTGGCTTTGGAAAAGATGGTTTGGTTGTAGGGATGCTCAGATTGAGAAGTGACATGAACTCTAGGAGAGGATGAAAATGACTACTATAGGAGCCCTAAGTTGAAATATTCAGAGAAACTTTCATGTTTGCCTTTAATGCAAACTAGAGGATAAACGTCTTGTTATGGCTGAGGGTAATCTGCTCATTCATTTTATACTACCTTGTATGCATTTTATTTTAAATTTTGTCAGTGTTTTAGTTTCAACCAACCTAAAATTATGTTGTGGTATACTACTTCTAATAGTTTAGATTAGTCCCCTTCACCCCCATCTGCATATATGTTCCAAGACCCCCACTGGATGCCTGAAACAGCGGCTGGCACATAATCGCCATATTTACTGTTTTTTTTTCCTATACATACATAACTATGATAAAGTTTACTTTATACATTAGGTCCAGTAAGAGATAAACAACAATAACTAATAATAAAATAGAACAATTATAATATGCTGTAATAAAAGTTATGTAAAGGTGGATTCTCTCTCTCAAGATATCTTGTACAATATTCACTCTTCTTCTTGTGATGATGTGAGATGATTAAGTGCCTACATGATGAGATAAAGTGAGGGGAATGAGAGAGGTCCTGTGACATAGTGTTACGCTACTATTGATCTTCTGAGGATATGGCAGGAGGATCCTCTTCTTCCAGACCCCAGTGGATCACGGGTCACTGGAAGCACAGAAAGTGAAACTGAGGGTGAGGCTTGGGGGTGGGGGGTCTACTGTATATGTAGCTCTAAAATGGGAACTGTTGCTGTATTTAATCTAGGTGAAGTCAAGACCTGTTTTGTCCTATCTACTGTTTTATCTTTGGCATCTAGCAGAATGCTTGGTAGCATTCTGTAGGAGGAACTCAGCAAACCTTTCTTCACAACTGATTTTACATGTTTTATCCTTTTATAGTATAAGAATACTGTGCTACAAGGAATAGAAATGAATTTAATAAGCTCTTTTCTAATAAAAATTTGTGTTAAAATGGCATACAATGTCATTATGTTGCTGATTTTCTCTTAGGCACTGAAACGTCATAAAATAGTAAAATTACTATCAAAATATAATTAGATGCAAATTTGCCTCAGTATTAAATGACTTCAGTTATGTGTCTTATTTGTAAGTTTCAGAAAGTAATCAAGATTAAGTTATATTATTTAGTAGATTACAATGTGCATTAAATAAAATAGATAATAACTTTAAAAAGTGATGTCTAATTATTGAAATAAAGTGACATTTGATTGGCATAAACAAAGATCAAGGCAATCTTGAAAAGAAATAGCTTTACTTCAATAATAAATATAATTCAGTTTGCTTTGGTTTTTGGATAGGAAGATGATAGAAGAAAAGACCAGTACTTTTGGATGTTTTAAAAACTAATTCTTGTTTAATAGGTACTATTTCCATTAAAGTATCTTGGGCAACTCATTCTTGTTGTTGATCTGTGATTTATGCAGTTTTAAAAATTCAGAATTAGGGGCACCTGGGTGGCTCAGTCAGTTGAGTGTCCAACTCTTGATTTCAGCTCAGGTCTTGATCTCAGGGTCATGAATTCAAGCCCCACATTGGGCTCCACGCTGGGCATGGAGCCTACTTTAAAAAAAAATTGAGAATTAATAGATTCTCTCAATAGTTACCTTTTTCATCTTACATTCCTGTTATGCTGAAGATTTTTGGTATATAATTTTCCAGAAGCTTTCCTTTTATCTTTCTGATCCAAAAACCAGGATACTTGTGAATCTTCTCTTTTAATTCATCTTTCCATGTTCTAAGACTTCTTTCTGAGTCATCTAATTTTTTTCTCTCTTTGACTACCATTTGATTGGGATAACTTCCTATCTGCTTACTTTCTGTTCATTCATTTATAAAATTATTTCTAAGAACTGAATTCCAGGTATTCATGTAATATATAAAAAATAGGACTCATGTTTCTTCATACTCCGTATAGACATTTTCATTAGTAGAATAACTAAGTATTCTATCAGATAATATTAAAAGTCTAATATTTCCTGAACAGTAATTTCATTTTAATGAATTTATATAAATCCCATTTTGTGGTTATTCAAAGCTATAATATTGTAGGTTTCTTGAATCTGCACTTTGGAGTTTGTGTATTTCATAGTTCTTTAATATAACAGGAAGATTTGCTAATTTTGATATTGGTAATTCATGTGAAACTGTAGGTATAAGTAGAACAGTGGTCCAACTTTGACTTTCCGTAAGTTTTAAGGCATAGAAAATCAGTTGAGCTATTTGTGTCAATTATCAGCTCATTCAACCTTTGCAGAAATTCCTTAATATACAAATTAAATAATTTTAATTTTACTTTTTCTTTCTTTCTTTTTTTTTTAAACTATTTTTTGCCTCAGCATCAAAATGAGGGAAAGTTTCTCTAAAGGCAATGTAATATAGGTTATATATAAAGTGTAAAACAAGTCCCTGGGTAATTAAGGATGGGCATACTAGGAAAAAAACTGTTAAATTCTTTGTAATACAACTGTTAATTTAACCTGCATTCCCAACATCTAGCATAATATCAAAGGTAAGTTAGAAAGTTTTAAAATACAGATTAATTAAACCAGTCAGTTGGATTAGTTTGTTTTGAATTTTCATGTAATATCAATTTTATTCATGTTGGGACATAATAAAAATTACACTTTTGAAAAACTGGGAAAATCTAAAATTTTAATCATGAGAATCAAATGGCCACTTAATATAGTAATCCTCTTTGATTATGAGGTCTTTTAATAGGAAAAAATGCTAAGAGAAAGAGTATTTTTTAAGCATAGGGAACATCATTTGTGAAAGTTTTTAAGTAGAGAAGGGTTTGAGAGACAAGGAAGACCAGTGTGACTATAATATAGTGGACAAAATGGAGTATGGCAGGATATGAGATTCCAGAGGTAGGACTCAGATAAGGCAGTGTTTTTATAAAGAATGATAAGTCTGAGTCTCAGTATAAAAGGATCTGAGTCTCAGTAAAAAAAGAAGATAATTGGAAACTTTTAAACATGGGATTGGCATGATTAAATTTATGTGTAAAGATCAATCTGGCTGCTCAATGAGTAGGGTGAGTGAGACTAGAAGTGGATAGAACAATGAGGAGGCTTTTATGAAAGACTTGCTGGAGATGAAGATGACTTGGACCAGGTTGATTAGAGTGAAGATGGAGAGGAGTGGATTGGGGATATATTTGGAGGTTGAAATGACAGGATTTTTTTTAGTGTAGTAGATATGGAGGAAGTTAGTAAGGAAGAGAAAAGAGCCAAAGATGACTGCCAGATTTCTGATTGGAAGAACTAATTGGGTGGTGATGCCATTAACTGATCAAGACAAGGAAAGGATGAATAGGTTGGACTAACAACTAAAATATAAGTTTTAAACTTTTTTTTTTAAAGATTTTATTTATTTATTTGAGACAGAGAGAATGAGAGAGAGAGCACATGAGGGGGAGGGGGGTCAGAGGGAGAAGCAGACTCCCTGCAGAGCAGGGAGCCCGATGCGGGACTCGATCCCGGGACTCCAGGATCATGACCTGAGCCGAAGGCAGTCGCTTAACCAACTGAGCCACCCAGGCGCCCAAGTTTTAAACTTTTTATGTTTCAGATGTTATAAATTAGCCAACTTTGAAGGAGAGATATGGATTGGCTAGAGTTATAACTTTTAGTGTTAAAGCTAGATGAATAGATAGGATGACTTAGAGAGTGTGTGAAGAAGAGCAGATAAGAAGGTCCATGATTGAGCCCTGAAGAATTCTGACGCTGTGCAGGGTACTAGGAATCCAGGGATAAAAGGACTATGGGTCCCGCTCTCACAAATATTTCACATTCAAGTGGGAAAAAGACATGCTGATGAACAATGAAAAACAATATTGTGGAGATTTTCTGGTTTCCTCTTTGACATGTAAAGAGTTTGGAAGTTGTTACTCTCATCCTCGCAACAAGAAAAGGCTTGTTCAGAACAAACTGAAAATCAAAAACTCTTCTAAGATTTGTCACATAATTGAAATCACAGGGCAAATCAATGCCCTGACAAGTGGAGGGAGAGGTGAAGAAAGAGAACCACAGCTTACTGGGAACAGAAACTCTTGGAGCTAGGATCTGGTAAGAAAACTTAAACTATAATTGATGGAACTCTGAAGGCTGAGTGTGGACTGACTTAGGAGTTAAAAATTCCTGGGAGCCCAGCCTTAGGGGAACAA